CTAGTCGCTCCTCCAAGCTACAAACTTTGCATACCTGGCATAATTCTCGTTCACTATTCCCACCTACCCAATCCCCGTAACGAACGCATCTACACATCCTACGCATCTTACTTAATGTTATTGATCCCTATTGACACTCCTACTCCTTTAGTCTTATACTTTGCAGTACTTCACACTAGTTGTAACCGGTGAGACTATCCTGTCCTAGCCCTTGTAGTAAAAGAAATACTACGAGTAGTGCTCTAATAATTTAAGTAATTAAGTTGAGCTCAGGTGTACCAATGCAGAAACGGCATAATAGTCTTTTTTCTTTGAAATTTTCACTATGAAGTCTTACTTTCCAATCAACCCTCGTTGTATTCGAATTGTCAGTCAGGGCAAATGTCCTCCACGAACTCTGGATTTTGACCCTTTGTGACTTTTCTTTTCTTTGGGAAAATTAAATATCATTGTTTACAAGGACACGCCCACAGATTTGAACAATTTGAAAAAGAAAAATACCATGTCATGAGCCAGAAAAGTTATTGAGAAAAGTTATTGAGAAAAGTTATTGAAAAGTTATTGTTGCCGACAATGTAATTGGAGGGCTCAGAAATGTCTAAAAATTGGTGCTTGACACATTAAGCCAATTTGTATCTAGAAATTTTCAATTATGTTGAATTCCCAAAGCGGGTTTTATTTCAATCAATATCATAAAGACTCCATGAAACTGTTACAATTTGGTCGAACGGCAAAATCATCCTCGAATTTACACAAAATTTACTTTCCTTCGAACGAATAAAAACCGTAAAACACAAAATGTGGAAAATAAGTTCTCGGCCATGGCAAAGTGCAAGGAGGAAATATCTGAAACTATTTCAAGTTCGGTAGGTTGTCAGTCTACACATGTATGAAAAAGGCTACTTCAGAGTCTGTAATGAAATCGTCGCTCATAGGCAGACACTTTATGGACGCCCAATAGTTATTTTAACAATGATTTCAACTATTTTCTTATCAAATGAAAAGCTTGGAAGCAAACTCTCTCTTGTACGAGCCTGTTGTCAATGCGGAGATTGCAAAAACCTCGTATTATACCATTATTTAGGGTAGCCATAGTCAGTAGGTAACTTTACATTTTGGTTAGTTTCGACAGCAATGCCTTCAAAAGTTCCGAAGGAAACAAGGGATAGCAGATTTCAAGTTTACTAGATTCACTGTAAGAATTAGGAGTGTTCGAACCACTGTCGGCATCACCAAAATTGTGAATATCTAAGACAAGGGAGTTTGTTTACCTTTAGGACAAACATACTCACGAAGGTTGCGTCATCTGCACTCCGTAATCTGGAATAATAATTCGTTGGAGTTCTACCTTTTGACAAATTTGTTAAAGCAGGCCAAATCGTGAAGAGGAGTTAAAGAGCTTCAACATAATGGATGTTAAACATTTCGGTCCTGGGGGTGAATTGAAGGTAAACATTTTGGGGAACATCACTCCTACCTGGAGCCGCTCCTGTATTGTCTTTTAGCTATGTCTGTACCTGCTCAATTCCTTGGAATTTATTGGAAACATGCTGCATGAAAATATTCATGTCATGCTGAAACGGAACTAAACAGGCAGACATATCCTTGGAATTATCTTTCATGAATAATCTTCACGGGATATCAGTTTTTTTTTTAATCCCATATTACTGGATCATATTCATGGAAAATATATCCTTTAAAAATATGCCCTAAAATGAAAATATCCCGAAATGATAGTTATTTTTTATATAGGCATCTGAAAGTTACCTTTGCGCCTGAGTTTCAGTTTCTGTCTCTAGGTTTCGAGAAAGCAGAAATTTCCGTCGAAATCTGCGCATAAATATCAACTGTCCCTGTCGGGATGTACCTGAAAAGCAGAAAATCCAATAAAATCAGTATCCCAAGGACTGCAGGAATGTCGAATTGCAGTTATGTACATTAAGGTGGAAAAGTCCATGCCCCTCGCCTAAGCCACTTTACAGGAAGAATATATCTGAAAATGTATGCAGTGAATTTTCAGAAAATTGAAGGCAAAGAAATTGTTATATATAGCTAGGAAAACAGCAAATCTTCGCAAGCATTATTGAGTTGGAAGAAAGTGACTAACAAGTAAATTCTACTGCTCGAAAACGAAGCCATGAATTATATCTATTTCTGGAACAACGACCATCGATCACCTGGCACAATTGCTCGTCTGACGAAGATCACCATTCGGACTGTCAAATAAAATGTTGCCAGCAGCAATGAACAACAAGACGCAACAAGACATGGTGGAGAGCAGACGTCATATTGGCTGACCCCACAAGATCACCGCCGTCGACGACAAGTCTTTCGGCTAGTGGATTCGACGAATCAATGGGACGACGGCAGAAGAACTGGGTCAAAAGTTGATTTAGGACAGAGATCGGCACTTGTCCCCATGAACGGTATCACAATGGCTGAAATGGATGGGCTACAAGAGTACCTTGCTCCATACGGAACCAATGTCGACACAACAGCACAAAGGTGACACAAGAAAGCTCATGCCGATTATTCAGAAACACGATTCATCGACGGTCAAATAATCCAAGAGGCGAGGTCAGGCGAATAACGAAGCACATACAGAAGATAATGGTGTGGGGCGACTTCAGTGTCATGGGCCTGGTCGGCTGTCATTCGTTCTAAAGATCCATGGATGGCCCTTACCACATTAAAATCCTTCAGGATCGCCTCCTCCATAGAGCCAAAAGGCAGCTCGGTCAGTCGAGTGACGAAGTAGTTCTTACTCGAGGAAGTACCGAAAAAGATCGACTGGCCGTGGAACAGCGCCGACGTCGATCCGATCGAGAACTTCTGGTCGATCCTCAAACAGTGGCGAGACGCGGAAACTATCTACTCTCGACGAACTGGACAGATTTCTGCACGAATTTACTTATTTCAGTCATATGGAAATACATGTAAAACTAAAAAGGGGCCATGAAATTATCAATTGATGAACTTATTTCCATAAAAATTTTAATTTACAGATACTAGTCATTTTTTCCTTAAACGAATTAGGCTGATATAGAAACGGCCTTGTTGTAAGCCGTCTTGGGCTTTTCACTTCATGAAAATTTCGAATTTTCAGGTGCATCACTTTAGTAGACATTTTTTGGTAAGTACTTCCGGAAATATTACGCGCTCCTGCACAACATAATGAAGCGAATAATCTAAATATCGCGCTGAAGTAATAATGGGAGAACTATATTTCAGAAAAATCGTAGTTTTTAGTAGGGTCAGTCGTATCTATTTCGGAACCCTGTGCAAAGAGGCTCCAAACGCCCTCCCCTCCCAAGTAGAGAGAAGGGTCGATTCCTAGCGTCAAAAATGACTGAAACTGAAGGCATTTCCACTTTATGAAGTAAAACTGAGGGTGGCATCCATTATTGCTTTATACTGTAGTGCACCCCATGACTTATTGCCTTCCCCAGTCAGGCGCCAGGTTCTGGTCCTGGAAGCGTTTGAAATTAATTGCTACTCCTCTTCTACGCGTGTCCCTTCATCATTAACACGTTGGCGACAATGCGTCCTGATGCCAGGAAGCAGAGTTTTTGCCACGTGGGACAATGCGTCCTGATGGCAGGATGCAGGTTCCAAAAAAAATTCCAAAAAATTCAACTTAAAAAAAAACTCGGAAAAGACTGTTTTCTGGGACCATGCGTCGTAATGGCTGGACGCATTTTTTGACAGAAAAAATGCGTGTGGTCCCACGCGGCGGACAAGCAAAAATAGGCTGGTGGTCAACGTGTTAACAGAGGAGAATGATAGATAATTGTGACAACGGCAAGTGAGGACACACTGGCGGCCTTCGTGTAACGTATGGCTTTGCCGTGATTCCGTTGTCAAGAAGAATCAGAGGTAAACCACTTTCCCCAAATCTCCTGAGTCCATTTTTTGTATGATCCTTCCGGCCTTGTGACTATTCAGCGCCCAAGTTTAACATGACGTGGACGTACATAGAGAACAGTATATGAACTCCACTTGGAGAATGTAGAGGAGAGGTGGAGGTTGTTGAAGGGTTCCAAAAACTTCGCTGCTGCTATCATCCGACCGGGTTAGTATCCTTGTTTGGTAATTTGAAACCTTGCTGTTTCTACTCGGTTGGTGCCGAGGTGCCTAAGCGCTGGTTGTAGCTGGTCTTTGGTGGATGTGGTCGTAGCCAGAAGAGACGATTAGAAATAGCGAGGCCGAAAACGGACTGTGGGCGTGAGGACGGTTGAAGCAAGAGCAACTCCTTCCGACTTCGTTATGAATGCCGTGATGGCAGAAATCACGAGACCTCGCGAAAGTGCTGCATAGAGGGGGTGAGCTGAATCTTGTTCTTTGAAAGGTTAAGTATTTTTCATTTGTATTCATTTACCTTTCGCGCAACGAAAGCTGTCAATCTCGAAGTTGTGCTGAGAGAGCCTCTACATTTTATTTTGTCTTTTCTTTTGTTAACTGGGTGAATAGGTACTTTGTATAGTGTCAAAGCCTTGGATAATACATTACAAAAATCTGTGTGAAACCCTGTCTTTTGGAATCCTTGCGAAAAGGCTTCTGATTTCATCCGACCATTACGAACCTTCGCAAGCGGACAAGTTCTCATATCATTTTTTCATTTAAAATTACTTTCTTGTTTTGAGACGATTAATGTAGCTTGCGGGTAGCGATTGAAGCACAGCAATGTACGAGTAGTACTACCGGCCACGCCAGTAACTGCGCACGTTACAATACATTCAGACACGTTTTGGCGCCCGCTGTTGAATTTGCGCTCTGTGCGGGGCCTAAGGCCGGCCATGATATTAAGTTATTTTCCACAGGGCGTATCTTTTAGGGAGAGGGGAAGCGGAGTATTTCTAAAATGAAGTTTTCTCCTAGCGAAGCATATTGATACAGAAAGGTAAGCCTGCAGAGATTTTTCATTATTAGAAATGTCTTAATGAAATACACATTTGGTCCAAAGAATTGGAATCGATTTGTAGACATGGGCACCGTGACTGTATGCTTTGATCGCAACGGTGATTGTCTGATTTCGTAGTTAGTGCCGAAAGCGCGACCAGAGGGCTTTCGTTAGCCCTCTTGACAAACATAATCACTAGTGGGGAACACAATTACCTGCACTCCCATTGTCAGTTCTCGAACTTTTTTTCCTACTCCAACTTTTCTTCTTTCTTTGGCTATCGCCACTATTCCCAAAGTTAGCGGATTTTGCTTCAATAACTCCATTGTCTTCCCGACTAGAACCTGTGGAAATACCAAAATTATTGCCGTTATCATAATCACTCTAGCTATCATATAAACAATTAATCAATAGTCTGACACGCTCATGAATAATGAATTCGCGCGCATGAGGCTGCATTTCAAGGTTTTAAGGTAGCAGATGTGAAAAAAGTAAGTTCCATGTTGCCATGCAGCCATTTGATTCCATTCCCATAGGAGGTAATTGTAAACCGTCTTGAAAAACGTACTCTTTCCCTTTACCATGGCAATGAAATTATAAAAAAAATAACATTGGGATGAGGTAGTCCTCCATAGTAGTTAAGGACTATTTCGAACTTTCACTCCTTCAAGAAAGGCTCCATACAAAAAATAAGTAAGTGCAGCACACAATCATCTTAATGGGTTACTCACCATCAGCCACATGTGCTGATTAACGATGGGAATGGCCAATCAGATGCGTTTGTTGGATTTCTTTTAGAGCGTCCGTAAAGGTCTGAAACCCAATTGCGCCTTTCATCCAAACACATTCGAGAATAGCCTTGGCGTCCAGGAATTGTAACCAGGAAGTCTGGGAGCAGACAGTCTAATCTTCAGCTTGCATGCGCACACGCATAATCCCTGCATTATGTTATTTTTCTAGAAGCGTTTTCATCCCTTCGCACTTTTATTCTTGACCGCAACTTTTTGCGACATCTTCATCAATACTAACGCTTCCAATTTAAGGAAAACATTTTTTTTTACCTTAATCTAATATGGATGACAGTGCCTGACAGACTGCGTGACTGACGCTAATTCTAAAAATATTCCAGATAAGATAGAAATATGAAACTAGGTACATATTGGCTAATGGCTTTGCATCCCAAATAGACATTTTTAATTATATATATTTGCTTCCGTGAAACGGAGAAACATGGAACATTGAAACTTGGCATGAAACACAAAGTTTAGGGAAAATGTCACGTTTCAGATGAATATCCATAGGGTCAAACTTTAGGAGGGTGACAATTTCAAGTATTTTTTGTACATTGAATTGTATTATACATAGAAATGTAAAATTTTGCACAATAATAACTGAGGCGATGGTGAGTTCAAAAAAAGTTTCAAGTTTTGAAGTGCATACCCTCAGGGCGCAGCTTTTGGCGGCATCTGCTATTCCAAATATATTTTGCACCAGCAAAAACAGATAACAGATGAGGCTGAAATTTGGTATGTATCTGGTTCTCCAAGTACCGATGTCAGTAGAAGTTTTAATTTTTTGGTCAAACCCATGGAGGATCATTTTTAACAAAAGGCTCACTTCCCGGAATCATTTCTGATACAGTGAAAGAGGGAACTAAAGAAATTTCAAAATTAGCTCAATGTACCTATTCCGTTGCTAAGTACAGATCCTACTTTTCCAATCCGACCTTTCAAGGCAGATTATGATGAGATTTGAAGTTAGGAAGAAACAATCGCAATACTTATTTCAATACAAATTTCGAGTGGCACATACTTTTGATACGTCTTAGCCACCTTAAAAATAATTACTTTTTGAAAGAAGCACTATATTAGACAATGGGGCGCGGAAGGCACGACCATAGCGAGTTTGTTTGCTCGAAGGGCATACAAACTCGCAAGTAAGACATTTTTTTTGCATGTCTTACCCGATTTTACCCCGTAATTGTCATGAGATAATTTGCTTCTTGCAAGTGTTACCTGAACATGTCGCATGCTTTCCTGAATATTCCAATGTGAATTTCTTATATTCACCTCACGGGCACCGTGTAAAAATAAGCATGGAATTGTCTTGGGCCCGGGTAGATAGTGGGAAAGTGACATAGTGGGAAGAAGGCTTCTCAGAGCACTGGATATGTCAAAATAAAACTAAGAATAATTATTCCCACTGTCCACGAAAGGGGTAAAACCACATACCTTCTAAGAAATCCTTGATATCCTCCCTCTTCATGGCAGTGAGTGCATCCATAAATATGGGGACGCAGTCTCTTGGATTCTTGGAAAAGAGGATGTCGAAAAGTTCATCATATTCTTTTCTTACTTCTTCCTTCCCTTTGACCTGCTTCACTTGAATTTCATTGAAGACGCCCTTGTCGCTCAAATAGCGAAGCAACTCCAAGTGATCTATGTTATATTCATCCCGTAGCTTCATGCGATTTTTTCTGATCGTATCCCATGTTTGCAAATCCATGTTCACCTGTGACGCAGTTCAAGTTAATGATTGCAAAGACTATGAATGCCATAACAGCACACGCTATTCTAACTCCATCCTAAACGTTGCATGTAAGGGCTTGAATAATAACAACATATAATGTTATGCGTCATTCGTGCAACTGCTCATTGCGCTCATTGAGCATGTCTGGCCTGAATGCGCTCTAAACAAGAGTGATTGCGTATTTCATGAAATGAGGAAAACATTGCCTATTGTATGCATTCTTACTGTGTTTTCGAATTTTTTTTTCAGTTGAAGTTGCGAAGAGGAAGTTTTTCGAATGAACTCCATCTACCTGTTACTTTCTCCTGTAAGACAAAATATTTTCTCTCTGAGCGTGGCTCATGTGTCGCGTGGACCCTGAGCTGGGGGTTGAGCTGCTCATGGGAATAACCGAACAAAGAACCAGCCTCTGCTTCCCCTCACGAAGAACTGGTAATGATCCTATATCAGACCTTTCCTACTAGGAAACATATTTCCCAATAGAAATATTTTGTCAAATTAATTATAACGCTATTGCTAATACAGGCAGAAACGCAAACAAGGATACCAACAGTGACTAAAAGTTCTCTGCAAACTTTCGATCACCGATCGAATGAAATAAGTGAAGAAAACCCGGACTGCACAAAATGAAAAGAACGAGCAAGGTTAGACGGTGCTAATGACAATAAAAACTGGTTTTGAGGATGAAATGGGTTAACCTTGGCAGGGGATGTACCCTTTATAAAGAAAAGCACATGTCATATTCTGTCTGATTGTTTGCAAAAAAAAACATTCCATTATTTACCGCTCAATGCAACGCAGTCCTTTCAGACAATGCATTATCACTATGGGGTGCATAAAGAAGATCATGAATATGAAGAATGGGAAGTACATTAGACATCGAAGAGGTGCGCGAAGTCATTCGCAAAGAACATATATTGTACGAAGCTCGTAAGGCGGTACTGCTCCAATCCGATTGCGTTTTTTCGAGCATTCACCTCTGATTGTGAGCGTTCTCTTTTGAAAAGTGGAAGCGGAAGCTCACCGCAGGGTTCTTTGCGCGACCAATCTCTATGACAGACTTCAAGGATCTGATCAACATAGAGAATGATCAATATATAAATTATAATTACATCATGCACTATCAAGAGTTCCTCAGCAAGTACTCATTTTCCGACCCTTGACAAAAAAGAGTAGATGGTGTGGCAACTGCGCTGCTTGAGATATTTCTTGATATTGTGAGGGATGAGGATGGCATCGAAAGGCTCAAGTGGATGTCCCGGGTTCGGTGGCGTAGTGGTAACACACCTGATTGGCCATCAGGAGCCCCGGGTTCAATTTCCGGCCGTTCCTTGGCTTTCTTTCGGCATCTTATGCCTTCCAAGTCCGGTCCACTTATCCCCTCTGTAACAACATCATGATGTCATGATGAGAATTCCCGAATGATTCTTCAAAATGACAATGGCCGCGAGTTCACTGCAGAAGTCTTTCATGAGCTGTCTGATCTCTAGAAGGACCTGGTCTCTGTAGATGGTCGACCGAGACATCCTCAATGCCTATACAATAGGATAGTTTCATGGGTGGCGCAATGGTGGCGCTGGTGCCGCAGTTTCCCATTCATTAAATAACCATAGTTTTACATGAATTAACCATCGGTTACCATCGATTTAAGGTACTAAGGAAAGATTAAAATAGACCCCCCTAGAATCAAATTCTGGCTCATAATTATTGTAGAGGACCCCAAGGGAGGGCCTTGAGTGGCGCATGGTCAAAGGTCACGATTTGCATGGCTCTCTTTGAAAATCAGTATCTCCCCAACACTTGGTCGCAGAAACGTCAACTGGGCGCCAATTTCCTCGCCACAGAAAATGTTAAAGTACGAGCCCAAAAATTTGCTCATCTCTCTGCTTCCCGAGACGCCGTGGCGCCTTTTATGAAAATTCGCGTTTCGCAAATTCACTTCTTCCCTCGCTCATTTTCCGTAGAAACATTGCACCGGGAAAAGCATACTCCAGTTTTTGGAGACCATCCTCGTCCGTCTTCGTGTCAAAGGGCACAATGATTCATCGATCCGTTTTCTCAGGAAGTTCGATGATATTCCTCAAAATCCCTCTATTTTTCCGTAGTACCCAAGATTCATGGTCATTTCTCGAGAACGAGAGCGAATTTCAAAAAAGCAACTCTAAAATCTGTGGGGAAGCCTCTTGGGAAGCTTCAGAACCATTTTCAAGCGAATCCGTTCATCCGCCTCAGATCCTTTACGATTTTACTGAACCCAAGTTTGAAATTTTGCGGCATTTCACAAACGTAGAGCCATTTTTCTCCACTTTATTAGGAATTAATAATATACGCATTAATTTTATTTTAAGGAGGAGCGTTTCTGGATTCCAATGGTTCCGAAATCGTTTATTAATTCAACTGGATGTGCAAGTGGGAAAATAATTATTAAATTAATTCATGCCATTTCCTCTTCACGATGCGCGAGCGCAGGCTGTTACCTGATAGGTTCTTCCTCCCCGTTGCATCGCGTACTCACGCACTTCGTTCCCTCTCTTCTCGCGCCTCCTTCCTGCCTACTCCCCTCAAACGAGGAGACGTGGAGCCAGCCACGCTCTGCCTTATGCCAGACTTGCTGGCGCTTGTATTCCTTCCCTTTCCCTGTGTATCCGTTCCCCTTCTTTTCCCACGCTCAAGTTGGATTGAGAACACTATATACTAGTAATACTGAGTCCAAGTTCCGTGCAGGAGCAGACGACTCCAACGCTACCTGATTGGCCGTGGACGGAGTGCCTTTGAATTCAAGAAGCAAAGCCATGTGCTCCTGTACTCAACAATGGGCCTTGGGGGCTGCCTCGCTTTTCCCTCCTTCATTTCGAAAACGTTTCGGTTTACGAAATACTCTGCCCGAACACGATTTGAGATCTTGATTCTGCCCTAGCCGCTGGTATAATTTTTTGGAGAGCTTTTTGACCATATTTAAGTGAGATAAACGCACGCAAAGGATGTCTATTTGGGTGAGTATTAGACTAAAATAAAAGCGTACAACTTTAACATTTATACCACCGGTTTAGGTGGATTCTAACCTACAAATCTTGTCAGAAAGTGATTTTTCGCCAAGCTTGTCACTGTCAAGATGTGTGTGTGTGTGTGTGTGTGGGGGGAGGTTCAGGTACCAAGGGATCATTGGAGCAGCCCTACTGAATATTGGGGGGGGGGGGGGGTTTCTGACGGAAAGGGAGGTGCATGATAGAGGCATTATCCTTTGCATACGTTTATCTTACTTAAATAAGATCAAACAACCAAAATAAATTATACCACTGGCTAGGGCAGACTCTGGACTACAAGTCTTGTTTGGGCAGACTTTTTCGTAAACCAAAATGTTTTCGAAATAAAGCAGATGAAAAGCTAAGCAGCCGACAAGAATGCTTAGAAAAAAATGAAATTCTTGACGTGAATTCGAAACGATAAAACACTGGTCGTAAACTCAACTCCGCAATGACTTTAGCACTCAAAATAATGTAGGTTTTAGTTATAGCCCACTTCCTGCCATCAGAACTTTATTTTAGTTAAGGTTTCTGACGGGATTTAGATCTGCCTTTTAGTCTAGTTTTCGCCAATCGTTCGTAATTCGAAACGCGCCAAACAACTAAACTCACCTCTGATCAGATCCTGATCTAGAAGGCCTTCGTTCTCGTAGAAGTAAATGTGGTTTCATGTTTTTATTTAAAAATTCGTTTCCGAATCCTTGTATAGCAATTTAAACTTCATAAGATTTTCAATATAAGTTTTTATCATACTTCTGCAGTACAATATTTACGGACATTTGTAAATTACTGCTCCTTCATCGTATGATTTTTTTTTCTCGCGAACGAAAATAAAAATATTTTTCTCCTAGTTCTTGTTGACAAATGCAAACGCAGTTCAACGCAGCAACTATTGAATAGATTATTCCTTTCCAGAAAACTTTCTCTTGCTCTGCCAATCGAATTTTTCGGGCACAAAAGCCTTCTTATAAGCTCTGCCAGCTATTCCGCAAACCTGAAGTAGCATATGCTTGCGTAGGTATTTAAAATTGTATCGGGCGTGAAAGCACACAACCCATGCTGCCCTTCTGCTAGTCTTGTAGCAAGCTGCAATGAACTTCTTCTGCGGTTCTAACAGCGTTCAGGTTGTTAGGGTCTTCTAATGTGAATGCGTTCATTGCTGTCTGTGCGCAAGCGCTCCAAAATCACAAGCTGTTCCTTCCTGTGGGATGGATTTTCCTTTTATTGAATTATAATGCAATTTCCTGTTACTCCTCAACTTTCAGACGACAATCGGCACCGCCGATGGATATGAGATGTAAATACCTCATCGGCCCACCAGGCTAAGGTGGCTTTCGTTACAGCCTTAGTTATGTGAATCTAGAATGTCGAATAGAAAATGAATAGAAATGATGAATTCATTCATCGTTTCTATTCGTTGTGGTTCATTGTTTCCACTTCCAATAGGCTGATGTGGAATAGTAACAAAAAGTGAAAAAAAGTTGAGGAATGCTTATTCATTGCAGTTATTTCCTATTCAGTAATTCGAAGGAATGGGAAGAAAGTTACGATTTTCTTGATTTAGTATTTTGAATGAAACCTCGTCTTTCGTTAGCGTATTGCTTGAGTTCGAGGAGCGGAGACCTTGTCGATGAAAATCATAAGCGTAGTATGGATGAAAAAGTGTGTGGGGGGGCTCGGAAACTCTGCGATATCATGCATATCTGGGGTCTTTTCCCTTTTTATTTACTTCTATTCTTGAGAAGTTGGGGTGGTGGGGGGCCACGTGCCCCACTCTTTGGAAAATAAATTTCCAAAATATTTGTGGGGTTCATATTTCTTGGGACGTAATGTTTCCAAAGAATTTTTCATATTCTACCGAATCGGGCAGAAATAGAAAGTAGCTGGCGCACGTATAACAGCCGTGATGTTGAATTCAGGAAAAATGCAACTATTGTTCTGCATCTCCTCAGAGCGCAGCTTTTCGGCGGGTCGTTTTTCAAAGGAAATTTTTTCCGCCAACAAAAAGGGGAAACATATAAAGCTGAAATTTGGTGGCATGGAGTTCCTTGAGTCAACATTTCGTAAGAAAAAATTTATTGTCGTTTAAACCCATCAGGGCATTTTTTCAGTCCCATTTTCGTGAATTATTTTTCGATCCAACGAAACAGAAACAGAAAATTTAAAACTCCCTCAGAAGTACCTGTTTGATGGCTGAGTACAGGAAAAATCCTACTTTTGAAATATGCACCCTTAGCGTAGATTATAGGAGGGAAGTACAGTATTTGAAAATGTATTCTCCACCCTTACAAAAAGAGACACACGAAAAGATTTCAAGCTAGGCACACTAGAAATAATAGAAGTAATGATTTTGATAAAAATGAAGACTTTCGTCCCCATATGTCACATATTCTAATGGGACGTACTTTAAATACGTGTTTGCCATTTCCCAAAGAATAAATGAAGTAATCACTATCCAAGGTAATGGAGCGCCGAAGGCGCGACCACAGCGAGTTTGCTTGCCCGAAGGGCAAACAAACTCGCTAGTAATTGCATACGTTCTGACCCTTTCTAAGAATGAAACCATGGTAAAGTCTGAATGCAATCGAGTTGCACAAATACATTCAGCAGAGGTTTACCCAGTGTTCGAAGTTAATTTCGCAATAAGCGACCCTCTTGTGCCTTCCGAACACATTCATGCTGATTTACCTTTAGAGAAAATCAAGGCATCGAGTTGCATGTTGTCTAGAGACACTGGAATCCTTAATTTTTTAAAGTAATCTGAGGCATCGCCTGAATTTCTCTATTGTGGTGAGAATTTTGCTTTCTTTTCATTATTTACTTTCATGCAGCATAGTTATTTGCTGTATTCAAAAGGTGCCAAAATCGTAGAATCAGGAAGATACAGCGCTTGTAGTTATAACGGGAATTTTGAGTTTCTGGAGTTCAACAGGAGTGGAGATCATATTCCCTTCGTTCCTTTTTTTTAGCGGTTAACCTAACACCACTATTTTAATTTGAGGTATTCCCACATGTGGATTGCCAAAAGGGTGGGATTTCAACACCCAACCATATCAACTCGATTGCATTAACATATGTTAAATGACTGTGGGAT